TGTGTGTGTGTGTGTGTGTGTGTGTGTGTGTGTGTGTGTGTGTGTGTGTGTTTTAAAGCATTTCTTCCTTATTCTCACTGTGATTAATATTCACAAGGAGAATCAAACACCTATCAGGATTCTTTAAAATAAAAATTAATAATTTAATAACTGCACACTGCTATAATCTTGCTCCTGAAACATTTTTGCAGCTTGTTAGTAACATACATACAGAAGAGTAGAAACAGTAAAAATGATAAATCTCGAGGTGCCAACCTCTTTTGTGTTAATCTTATCTGTAGATCTGAATGATACCTACCTGCCTTTAGTGGTTTTTCATTTTTCATGTTTGACTTTGTTTAATTTCTATAATTTGTTTCAAATTATCTGACAAGCCTGTTACGCAGTTAAGCAACAAACGTCATTACATGACTGTAATATTTAACTTCATCTATTAAAATGTTTTATGTTGTTGTAGCAGAGTCCCCAAACTTACAGTATGCAGTTGGTGTTTAGATTGAAGATGAATCAATAATAAAACAGATAATTTGACTTATTTTGGAAATGGCTTGATATCAGGCTTTGTCAACATGATGGTCAGATGCACCCAAAAGGCTTCTATTTTCTTCTCTGGATAAAATCATTTTTAATGTGAGTTGTAATTTAAAAATAATAATAAACTGAAACAGCAATAATGCATTTATGCATCAACAAATAAAGACAAGCCAAAGATTCAGTTCCACAGGTCATTTTTGAAAACTTTAGGCCAGTTTTTTTTAAATAGTGTAAAGGCCACTGGTTTGATTTCAGGAAGAGATACAAATTTCCTCTTCAGTTGCAGTATGAAAGGCATCCAGTATAAAAGTCTTCCAAATCAAAACACAGGGGTACCTGCTCTGGTAACCCCTTGTGAAAAGGGAATAGCTGACAGTAGCTTTAACTTGATGTGTTAAAAATGGCCAAAGTGCAATTTTTGGCACTTTGGCTAACCTTAATAGCAATGGTCTACAACAGTACTGCTTTCAGCTAAGTAGACTTGTGAAAAACTGTTTTCCCCCATTCCTGATTTTATATTGTTTTGTATGTTTGTGCCTCTGTGTTGTTGTTAATATTTAAGCAGTGTATATTTTTACATTTTAGCCCATGCAACATTGGACCAATGCATCAATTGGGTAAATGCTCGCAAAAAGTGGAGCTGGATGCTGCTGAGAGGAACTGGACCTTAACAGTCACTAATCCTCTGGGAAAGCTCGAGCTCCATGACAGGGTGGACCTGACCAAAAGAGGTAAAACTTTGGAAAAAACGAGGGGAAAAAGTTATTTTTAATCCTTAAGATCAGCTGATTGTTGTGATCTCTTGTTTTAGTGCACATGGTTGCTCCAGACAAAGTGGCAGCTTCAACTGTGAACCCCAGAAACATCAGTCTGAAATGGAGCTGGACTGTGCAGAAGTACAGTAATCTCAACATCACATGCCAAGTACATGTCAGTGATGGAAACTCTAATACCAAAGTGAGTAGATTAAAAAGGAAGCTAAGGTATTGGCTTTTCAAAGTAAAAGTCTTCACTGAAGTCAGCTAACATAATTCTTGTCCTTGTAGGTTTACCAGACTGAAAGCATTGGAGTTGGCCTCACAGCTGCAGTCATCAAGGACTTGATACCACACTGGGACTATGACGTGAGGGTCCGATGTGGAACATCACAGCATTTCTGGAAATGGGGTGACTGGAGCAATAGTGTCAAAATCCGCACGAAGGGTGATGGTAAGGTGTTGTTTTTGGTGTGTGTTTGTTTGTGTGTTGTTGTGTTTGTGTTAGAGAAAAGACTGAAAAAGTGTGAATGTAACAGATGTCGTTTGTCTGGTTGCACCACAGTTCCAGATGCTCTTGACGTGTGGATGAAGGTGAAGGAAGACCAGACTGTAATCTCCTGGAAGGTGAGTCCAAGTTGGCTTTTACAAAGTGTTTTTTTAAAGTCACTAAGTCTGGAAATTGACTCAGTTTCAAGTGGTCACCAGTGGAATTAAAAAAAACACGTTTACTTACAGCTAGTCTGTAAAGCAATACTAAATATTAATAAACTATGCATGGGAAAAAATATCTTTTATAAACCTATTTAAAAATATCAGTGCAACATCTTATACAGTTAGAAAGTGATGTTTCAGAGGACACTGTTACCATTTCAGGTCTTGATGTTACGTCTCCACAGGTGCCACTGACCAATCAGAGCCATGGAGAAATCTTTGACTACAAAGTGTCCTGGGCAAAGACCAAAGACAAAAATCAGTCAAACCAAACCAACGTGTCCAGAAGCAATCACAGTCTTACACTCACGCTGGACCCCAGTGAGGAGTACATGGTCACTGTCACGGCTAGAAACATAAACGGCAGCTCATCACCATCGACCATCATCATCCCCCGCTGCAATCTAGGTATGAAGCTAACAGAGCACCACACATTACAGATAAGCTCACTTTGATTTCCATTTGGGGAAAAGGTTTGATTTTATCTAATCTGTGCAGAAGGCTGTAAGCAAAGGGTTTTCCAAACTAATGCAGAAAAGGAATAGCAGTTTTCATGATCACATGATTGAGATTACATCTATTATAAGTATACAAATATGTAATTGTTGTGTTTATATTCTATATGTCCAAGTCACGGTGAGTATGTACATTTTTGCACATTTTATTGGTTTGCGAAGGGAAGCCAAATGCCTTAAAAGTGCATTTGCCTGTAAGCAAATGGTTTTCAAAACAAATGCAGAATTTGACAAATTAATTTCCCTGCTCAAATAATGTAATATATTATAAGTTTACAAATAGTGATTCATGAAGAGTATAGAAATTCTGGCCTCATCTTAAAAGGGAAACCAAATCCCCTAAAACTGCACTGCATTCTTTCTAATGCCCATAAGGTGGCACCTCCTTGTTTGAGAGTCTAAGAGTCCTTGGAGTGGGACACTCTGCTTCAGTCAGGTCATAAAAACAATGGATGATCTCAAAGTTGCTATGTTCATTTTTCATGTAGAGTCATGGGTAAAACTGTTTTTTAACGAGGCTCATTTTTCAGATACATCCGAGGTGAAGACCTCCTGGATCAGTGGCAGCAATGGTAGCTTCTTCCTGTCCTGGCCTGATAGTCCTAACGCCAGCTGTGGCTACATAGTGGACTGGTGTCCAGTCTTCGGTAATTGCACCTTCGAGTGGATGAAAGTGTCTCCCAACAGAACTCATACCACAGTTTTTTCAAGTACGTCCTCATCTTTGCCTACAAAACTGTTGCAGATCATATTTGCATCTGTTTCAGCACAGCTCCTTTTGTTGTTCCAGAGAACTTTGAAGATGGTCGGAGATACCTGCTGTCCATATACGCCTGCACTGAGGGAGCTGCGGTGCTACTACAGAGAAGAGAGGGCTACATCAGAGAGACCAGTAAGACTGATTCAGTGATTTCTCACAAAATGCGATGGTTCAATCAGCAGTGTATTTTATGCATGTCACATCTTTCCAGAAATAGGAGTCAAGCTGTTTAAACTCAAATACAAACAGGAAGACTCGGCTGTTGAGGTATCCTGGGAGCCCATACCTCTGGAAAAGCAGACTGCTTCCATCCAGGGATATATTCTCTACTACCAGGACAAGAGCGGGAATGTTTTCAACATGAGCACAGGTACAGTATGAAGGCATACTCACTCAGGCCAGCTAAGATTTCAGTCTGGACATTAAGTATAGGATCAGCACTTTTTCATAGGTGCTCTGTTAGCTGAAGTTTAATTCATTGTTAGTATTTACCTCCTGGCATATGATGACCTTCCTCTTCCAGGATTTGCATCACGAAATGGCTAATAACACAAGTTTTAACAAATGGACACAATGCCCCCTTGTGGTAGTCTAAAAAGAAAACAAAACAAGCCTCCTTTTGTGGTCTCAGCCTGTAGATTCAGGCTAAACATGATTGCGAATGCAATAATTCATTAAAAATTATTTTTGAATTGATTGCAGACACACACTAATCACCCCAAAAATATCCAAATTCTTAAACACCATTTTTTTTGCACCCTTTACAGTTACCTGAACATGTTGCCGACGAGTTGTTTACAAATTGATTGGCACTCAGACGATGACACACTTAATCACACTATTAAGTTTCACTACTGATAACAAAGTCCTGGTTTTGTTTCTCCACACACAAAGATTAGCTTGTGACTGAGATAAATGAAGTAAGTCTCCAGTGTTGCCCAATGATCGTAAACATGTATTTATGTTGTAATAATGGCGGTCACTCTGTGTTGATTTAGATGATCCTGAAGCCACCAGCCTCACTGCAAAGAACCTGAACATCAGTATGTACACCTTCACGGTGACAGCATCAACAGCATTTGGACTTTGTGGTAATTCATCCATCAATGTCACCTTGAATCCCCCGGGTAGGTTAATTATTTCCCCATATGGACTATTTTCTTTAGTAAGACTGTCAACATTTGTCATTTTCTTTGATTTACTCGATGCGGTTCATTGTTTTCACCAGCTGATCAACTGATAATGCTGATCTTGATATCCCTGGGAGCAGTTTTCCTTATTCTGTCTGTCAGCACAATTATCTGCTCCAGACAATGGGCATGGTAAGCAATGCACATTTATTTTCTGTGAAATTTGCCACTTTTGCTTCCAATAATTGTTTTTGTTTATATTCATTTTTTAACCCAACAGCATCAAGCACAAAGTCTGTCCTCCAATCCCGAAGCCAGTGCTGACTGAGTGGCTAACAGTAAGTTGTCACATTAAAGCAGACCTTCCCAAAGTGTGGGGCCTGCCCCCTAGGAGGGGCGCAGAGCCATTGCGTTGGGGGGGGGGGGAGACAAAACGTTTGGGACACTAGAAACGCAATGCAGGAGATGAAGCATCGCTGAATATGTTTCCAAACCAACTTCATTCTAAGCCAAAGACTAGAAAATATGGTGAAGCATGTCTGCTCTTTGGTTTCACCTGCACAGAGGTAGGTCTCCCTGCAGAATTGGTTTTCCCTTCGTCAGGAGCACCACTGGGCTCTTCAAATCATGGACAAACAGTATCCCACAGTTGTTTATGTTTTTAAACCCATTTTGCACAGAGAGGCATTTTTTGAAAAATGTATTGATAGCAATGTTGAATATTATTACACAGGAAAAAAGCAACTACATGTAAAATAATCACACCGACGCCTCTGCCTTTGTAAATGGAGGGACAGTAACTGCTTGTGTATGTAAATGTGTAAAACCTGCAGATAGTCAGATTAACAGTATTTTGTGTCTATCTGCCATTCTGCAATTCATCTCATGTAAACAATAACGTGGCGCACAGCGTGACGTGAAAAAAGGCACATACCTTTGACGTTGCGTGACGAACTCTGTATTCCTCGTCCACACGTAAACGCAAAAAAGGAGTTTTAAAAAATCTCAGTTTTCGGTGATTCGAAACGCCGTTTACGTGTGGACGAAACAGCTGCGTTTTCAAAAATACCCGTGTAGGTGTGGACGTAGCGTAAAAGAGTTAGTAGTTTATTTTATTACTACCTGTAATTTATTGCAGATTACTTGTATTTGCTTAATTGTTTACTAAATGTTTGAGGTGTGAAATAAACCGCAATGGAGCAAAATATGGGTGTGTGGTTGGAGGATGTGTTTGTGCGTGTGCACGGCGGGGGGGGGGCCAACATTTTTCTTGTAAAACAAAAAAAAGTTTGGAAACCACTGCATTAAAGGATAACTTTGACGGGGCACTTAACAATACCTAACCAATTAGTTTCCGGTACCAAACACGACTTTAACTCAAGTTAAAATGTTTGCATCAGTAAAATGTCTTTTTTTCCCCTTTTAATACCACAAAATTCATTTCTTTTTGTGATAAACAAGCAAATTAAAATGCTTTGTACTGACTCACTTCTGGAGCCATTCAAGGAGTGTTTGGCTGACTAATGCTACATCTATACATCCTTCTATTGTACTAATCAATTATTTATTGGTTTCACTATCATAATCCAGATGTCTTTCCTGTGAATGTGAGGTAATTTTCTTTATTTTTCAGGATGAACATACCGTTCGTCATCTTCACTTTGATCAGAGACACTACAGGGAGGTCTGGGATGTTCCGGAGCTGCATGATTATTTTAGTGCACCACAGCCTGTTGTTGGCCAGGACTACATGCCTTCTTTTTCCTTCTCTCAGACTCCCAAAGGTTACTACAATAAGCTTCTGAAGAAACTCCAGCCACCCCTTACTTTACCCACTACAGGCCTCACATCTCAGCCAGGCGTTCTGTCTTTTCCAGGAAATGATGTATTTCCTAACCCTTCATATGACCTGACAGTGCAGGGTGAGGACCAGCAGACACAATCACATCTTCAGATCCAGCAGGGCATATGTATAATTGATAGCTTTCATGAATACCAGCCTCAGAGCCCTGAGGAGACCTTTACCGCAACTCATCCTGAGGACGTACCAGACAGTCCTCTTTCATATTCGTTCACGTACATTTTGTTGCCACAGAAGACATCCAAGTAGCTGCTGCATGTGTGAACACATTTAAAACTTATGTGAGTACTTCAGTCATCGTTAACTGCTGTATAGTTCATCCATCATCCACCAGTTCATCATTGAGTCAACTAGGGTTAGGGTTGGGTTTTGCTTTAGTCACACGCTAAACAGGCATAATTTTAAGTGTAAAAGATGTTTCCTTTCAATAAAGTCTCAGACTCACTGCCCAGCCCTACCCTGGTGGATGCTGGGTATGATTACGATATATCATGCATGTATGAATCTCTATAGAAGTGATAATTATAGTCATAAACAAGCTTTCTAATAGTGAGTTTGGCTTCATGCTTTCCGGTAATTGTGAGCCACCTTTACCACATATTTTAAGAACGCAAAAGATACAGCTGAAACACTGTTCCAACGAACACAGCTCTGGGATATAAAGAAAGATACTGCATGCCAGGCACATGTGGATGCGTCACCACTTTGTCAGTGCAGAAGAAACGAATGTTCTCAGAAACAGCAGAACAGTAAAACTCCTACAAGTTCTCCCTAGGGTTAATTAGTGGACTTCATGGTAAGCATGTGTACCTCTTTGAAGGCCAAATCAGCACATATATGTTGCCAAGCGGTAAAAGGTCCATATTAACAACAACTCTCCAACTTGTTTATGTGCAAAATCAGAAGTAAAACGTCGCTTCAGAGAACATTTCTACCAGTTGGAGGTTTTTTTTGTTTGGTTTTGTTGTTGTCAAGTTTACTGAACCTTGTGTCATTTTAATACTGTATAACAAAAAAAACATATTAATAAAAGGAAATGCAAACTTTATTTCAACTTATTCTAATGCATGTAGTAAACTCAAGCAAATGATTTTTTTTAAATGGTAACTTTCCCTCACACCTAAAAGAGAGGTGATCACATTCAGGGGTAACATGAGATTCAGTAGGTGTATCGACTCAAAGACTCAAAAAAGAACCAAAATTATCTACATCATAAACTCCAATAGATTTTATGTACAGAGTTACAGAGTGGGATTAGCTGAGCTGTGCTGCTGCTCGTTGTGTTTCTATCAGACTGATTTCAACAAGATAAACAGCTGATTGTGAAAGATTTTACACTCCTTACACCTTGCCTTAAACTGCATGTTTAGAT